CAGTAACGCGAATGACCTCCCATGTTTTGTTATTAATGTTGATCTCAAAGGATTCGTTGAAATTGAACAAAACAGACACATCCATGTTGTCTTTGTAAGGCATATGTGTCAAGTTATTTATTCTGGAAGAAGCCCCTGCGTACAAATTGAAAGCTACCGCTTTGGAATTATCCTCAGAGGAAAATACAATTTCGTCGATTTGTGATGGATCTAGTGCAAACGTTTGGCAGAAAGCGATACTAAATTGGTCAGGTGTAACAGGTCTCATTTGACCATCCAAAGGATGCATCCAAACCTTCACGCGATACTTGTCGCGAATTGCGTGTAAAGGATTAGGAACGTAACCAATCCTGCAGGTTTCCAGATGTGGGTCGTAAACCCTGTCTTGTGGACAGGTCAAGGTGACTTTCGTACGCTTAATTTTCTGTTGGTTAGTGATCAAAGGATCAAATTGCATGACTATTTCGAATGATTTGGGTTCAAAGATAGTGTCTGGTTCTCGAGGGCCGCAGCTTGCGTTTGTCATTGATAATCCATTGCAAAGCACACAATGATAGTTCTTGTAATTCTTCAAGGTCTCCCCTTCAAAGACAACTCCACTTGTACCCTTCAAACAACCATCTTTGTGCTGAGTTTGCTTCTCTATGGAGCATGAAGATACCATCGGTAAGCAACTTCGAACTTTACTGAATTGTTCAGTTGGTAAAACGACTCTTGTTGGACAGTACTTAAGCATGTAGTCTAATGTTTGAGTGTTGTTAAAGCCCCTGGGTGGTTTTATATTGCATCGAAATTTTAGCTCCCAAAAAATGAGAAAGAACTTTATCACGTTATTGCAAATACCACAATAGATATTGCTATAATGGATTCCTTGTCTAAGAGGGTCAAATAATGCCACTGGAATGCCTTCTAAGACGTTCGCCGACGTGAATGTGCGATTCGTGGCGTTTGCCCCTGACAAACATTTTGAACGCACTTCTTTGTCTTGCCAACCCGCTGCACAAGTTGATATCATGAAAACACCTGTAGTAACATTTTTCTCAGTGGATATCTTGCTGCAGATATAATTTGCATTATCCATTCCTTGAGGTACTGGACTTAAGGGCTGACAGTAACGTGTGTAATCAGCACAGCAGTCATGATACGTGAGACAAGCTTGATCGCAATGGCAGTGTTCTTCACTTTTTCTTTGGCTGTCTAGCTCATCCCACTGTGTAGAACGGTCCTCACATTTATTCCAGCAGGAAAATTTCTCATTTTTCTCATTGCATGGAGGAACTGGATCCGGCGTTTGGGAGGTTAACACGTGAGACGTTGCCGTGTGAGGAGTGGCTGTAGGCCGGTTTGATACAAACGATGAAAAATTTGTTACTGTCGAAGCCAGCACATCACTTGCGTTAAAAAGAGCCTGGAGATGGACCAGATTCAATGAAAGGAATAGGACACAAGCTGTGAAGCTGATGCCAATGTTTCTCATTTTGTTTGTACTTATAAGCTATGTTTTACCCTTTGTACCTACAAAACAGTCAAAAGCTTTCAATTGCCGCCTGACAAAGATAAACTGGCACGCTGCTTACGTGCTTTTCGAACTGAATTGGTGATATCAGACTTTTTTAACCGGAAAGTGCTTTCTCTGTATAGAAGCTGTCTACACAACGATGTTGATCGAAGATCTGTAGCGTAGGTTGGAGAGTCTGAAAAAGAGGTAAATAAAAAGAGATATCAATCTGTTATATACATGAAGCCATATATGCGTATTATAAGGCGGTACATGAATAAACGAAACGTTTTTTTTTCATTTAACTTCTATTACTATCATGTTTGTTTGATCCGTCACACACTACCCTCTCTAATCAGCTTTTAAATTTATTTATCTTCTGAGAGAAGAGTGACTTTATTATTTATTTGAAATACTGAATTGTATGTGGTGTAACTAGTGAACGGACATCGCGGCTGTCTTTAAATGTATGTTTGAATGACAATGAGATTCACTGAAAGTTTTAATAAATGATCGAGGAGAACTGAGCGATAAAGTTTAAAAATGACGTCCCACTAATCAAGTGTAGCAACTGACAAGCTAATCTAATGAAGCTCTTGTGGTTTCTTTTACCCAGGAATAAGCTAGCCTGAATTTCAGACGATTACTTTGAGTCGTTTTTACTGTCTCAGTAACATCTGAATCGACCGGCCGTTAATGCAGTCCAGTGACGTCACTACCCGAAAACCGGGTAGAGATTTTGATTGGTTGATTGTCCAAACATTCGCATAATTATGTATAATTATTAGAAATTTTAGCGGGACTGTCGTTTGGTATTCAGCCTAGTTTTATTAGTTTAATTTTTTTTCCCTAGGTTTTCTGCTGCCTGTTTAGTAGTGACAGAGAAACGGAACGCCTCTTTTTATCAGACAAAATTTCTTTATATCGTAGAGAGGTCCAGTTTGAGACAAGTGAAGCCCAATTTTGACCAAATACTTGCATTTTTATTGGTGTGTAAATGCTTTGAGTCTGTCAAAGGAAATATTGAAACACCCGCATTGTTCCGCATTCAGCATAACGTACACTAAATATTTTGATAAAAAGTTTTAGCGGCGTTTATGTACTGATCAAAAAACACAATAATATGCCTAAATGTTGTTATCATGTTCAGTGTTAAGAGGTTGATTTAATTCATAAATTTGCATTTGCTTTTTTTTTTAGCCACTAAAACATTTGAGGAAAAAGCGCTCTAAAAATTTCATATCCATTTTTAGTTCAATTTTCATTCAAATGTTTGGTTGCTGCGTAAGGTTAAATGTGTGCTCTACCAAAATAATTATCAAAAAAGCATGAACGCTGTGGAAAATTAACTTGCCAGAAACAGCCAAGGATTCGATGAAAGAGTGGTAGCCTTCTTATAGTCATAGTGAACGAAATTTATTTCATTCCGCATGAACAAAGCTTTTGAACAAAAGAGTTTAGTCAAGGTTTTTCTGATTTTCTCTATGCGTTATCATTCAAGAACGAGAACCCAACCAAACTTGTCATGAGTATGGAACGCCATTTATGACAAAAAGATTATATGCAAATATGAAGAAGAACACAAATATTCGCATTAGAAAATAAATATTTATATCAAGATAAGAATATATGGGATCAACATATGTACGTCATATACACGATGCATAACGTAAATATACGTTAAGTTGCTTACCGCGCAAATACGTTATGAACATTGATTACGTTAAGACACATAACATACGTATACGTTATGCGTAACATGTAAATATACGTTATGACGCTGCGTTGACCGTCCAGCGGTTCCAGCGAAAAGATGTGAGCATGCCCAAGGAGTCGGGAAAAAAGCGCGCGGAAAAAATGCAGAAATGGCAGCTATGACATTTTTGCAGTGGCACTTGCTTTCATTGAAGTTGGCAGGCACTGGCTATGATGCGTCGTCTTCTTCAACCATCAACCAGTTAGTTTGCGGACTGATGGAAAACCCCCACTTTCTTGATGTTCTGGAAAGAACATCAAGAAGAATAAATTCTCCTCAAATGACATCCCAACCGGCCGCCTCGTGCAGCACCTCAAGCTCACGGCCCTTTCAGACGCCTGTGGAGGAATTTAGGTCTCTGTTTAGAACCGGAACGGCATCATCGACGAGGCGGCCGGTTGGGATGTCATTGTCATAGCTGCCATTTCTGCATTTTTTCCGCGCGCTTTTTTCCCGACTCCTTGGGCATGCTCACATCTTTTCGCTGGAACCGCTGGACGGTCAACGCAGCGTCATAACGTATATTTACATGTTACGCATAACGTATACGTATGTTATGTGTCTTAACGTAATCAATGTTCATAACGTATTTGCGCGGTAAGCAACATAACGTATATTTACGTTATGCATCGTGTCTATAACATACATATGTTGATGCGAAAATATAGTTAGGTATGTTTTATAATACCCATATATTCTTATCTTGATATAAATATTTATTTTCTAATGCGAATATTTGTGTTCTTCTTCATATTTGCATATAATCTTTTTGTCATAAATGGCGTTCCATACATGAGAATAAAAAAATTAAAAATAAAATGATGCCAAGCAGCATGACGGATGACGCATGAGGGATTTTCAGAAGCAAGAGGCTGTCGAAACCGGCCAGCATAACATGTTTTTTCATCGTCACATGCATTACACATACAATACAATAGAAAATTGAAAGCGAAGACACTACAAACACCGCCCTTCACTTAAAAAACCCAAGGATCACTTATAACGGTTGACTACCTTTAAAAAATGGTGACTGGAAGTCCAATCCAAAGTTCTCAGTTCCTCCTCTTGTTACTGAAGCTGACAGGAAAAAAGAATCAGAAATCCATAAAACCCGAAGATGAAAAATGTTTTAGAAATACCATACTTTTCATGACATCCTTAAACTGTTAAAGGCTCGCCTGTATATAGTTAAATAGGAACGGCGAATAATTGCGTTTGTCAGCTATTAAACCCACAGTGGTAATTGTTGATTCAATTTGGATATTAAGTGATGGCAGCGTCTAATGTATTCAAAGTTAAAATGGAGAAGACTGATCAATTATTTAACAATTATACCACGAGTGCGCTTTGGATACAAGATGGTAGATCAGCCAACGAGGCGCGTACCGCCGAGTTGGCTATAATCGTCTCATATCCAACAAGCGCGATTGGAATAATTGTTCTATTAAAAAAACACCCCCAAAATATCGAGAATTCGTCCCGACTTTATATATAAAAACAAACGAATTTCAGCTTGTTTTTAATTTTTGAGCAGGCGCGTACAGTTACCATTTTTGGAGAGCATGGGATAATGGCTCATATACCATGATGGCTAAGGCAATCAGAACTCTAGAATTGCATTATCCAATGATTCAGTTTTTAATAGTTTCAGTTAGTAGTTGCTCGTGTACGGTAAAATCGATTTAGGCCTGATAGTTCACGAAAGCGCCCATGGAATACTCAATTAAGTTAGAGCCAGTATTATGATCGCAAGTGAAAATGGGTTAATAGAAAAAAACTAACTAACGAACAAAAATAAAACAAATCATAAAACGTTTTAATTCTAAGGCTCGCTGATGTACAGTAAAGGAGGATTTTACGACACGCAATTGTGTATCTCAACTATAATAAAGACGAATGACGAATTTGGCCCGGTATAGTTAGTGGTTGCCAAGTTTATAATTATTGAAAGTCACCTGTTCTTGAGCTATCAAGTTATGGCTTGCAGGTCACGAAAAATTGCCCTCGGAATAGAGAGGAAGTCTTAACGTCACTTTGCCATGGTAGCAAAATATCTGTATCGCAACAAACCGTGCTCCTGCAAATATGACAGAAAAAGAAAAGGAAGAAAGAATTGACATATATGACTTACCTGTGCATGATTGCGCTCGGGAACAAAACAGTAGCCCATACTTTTCTTCTATCGTTCGACAATGTAAATGGCTGTCTCTGTCAAGAAAGATGATTGAGAGCCATAAATATTGCTACCATGGTAACCTGACGTCACTCTTCTGTTCTCTATATTCGATACCTTATTATAGGAAATTAACGCTCCATGAAATTAAGGTATTGGAAATTAACGCGACTTAAATTAACGCGAATTTAATGGAAAACGACTTTCGAATAAAGAAAATGAACGCGAAAGATGAAATAGAATTTCATAATAAAGGAAATTAACGCGATTGAGACACGGTTGGACAAATTTATTTCAACACTGGATGCAAAAAAATCCAAAACTGACCAAACCTGAGCTGACATCACTTCTGACAGCGACAACGCTGAAGGTGAACTCCAAATATTGTAAACCTTCGCCTTAGCTTTTGTGAAAGATGAAATTAAAATAAAGGGTAAATGAAAAAAAGAAAGAAAGCTTGTAGTTAATGTTTTTTAGGTGTCAAGAATGTCTGGACAGGTTCCAAAATTGGAGTTAAAATACTGGAAATTAAGAGCGCGGAAATTAACGCTGCACTTAATTAACGTCGCGGAAATTAACGCTCAACAAAATTAAAGCGACTTAAATTAACGCGAATTTTAACGATTCGCGTTAATTTCATGTAGCGTTAATTTCCTATAATAAGGTATATTAGTAAGAGCCAGTATAAGGATCGCAAGTGACGTTGATAAAAAGTTTTGAAAGGAAAAACGAAACAAACACGAAACAAAACCAAATAAAAGTTATTTAGTTAAAAGCATGTCATGTACAGGCAAAGAAGAAAGGCGCCCAATTGTGTAAGTCCACTATTAAACCCACAATTCTAGTATCTATATTTTGTTAATAATTGATGGCAGCGACTAATGTACAATGCATTTATATTAAAGTTGAAGAGGAACGACGCACAACACTAAGAAAACAAACGTTTTGTTAATACGTGATGTTAGCGGCTAATGATAATGCCTTTTTGGTCTAAACGGAGACGGATGATCAATAGTAAGTAGTGGCTAAGTTTGTGATTATTGAAAGTCACCTGTTCTTGGACAATCAATTTATGGTTTGCAGTGCACCATAAGTGCCCACGGCGGTTAAGTTAGAGCCAGTATTAAGATCGAAACTGCAGTTATTAAAAGGAGTTCAAAGAAAAACCAAAACAAGCTTAAGACGCTGTCCCATGGGAAGAATTTTCCTCAGATAAGGACTATAGAAGAGTAGATCGTACCAAGCGCTGTTGAAATCCAAAAAGAAAAGCGGTTGGTAAACACGCAGTTTTCAAATATACTGAACAGCTGCTTCCTTAAAGAGCCAAAGACGCCAAATAGGCAAATTAGAAAAAAAAAAGGTACATTTTCCCAGCTCTCAGAGTGGAGACTTTAACTGGCACAAAAGCAACAATAAATATAAGGCGGCTTCAAAAGAAGGAGCAATTGGTGAGAAAACTACTGTTGCTTATGTGTCTTTTATTAAATCATCCACACTTTTGATTGAAATGACTTTGCCCAAAACGAAAATTGACCGTGTCATGAGTAGGCTTACAACTCCAATTTGCCAATTTGCGGATAATTGAAAAGTGAGGTTAGCAAAGAATTCCGATCCCATTAACACGAGTTGTTCAATGGATGTATGAGTCATCTCTAAAGCAGATGTATCCTAATTAAAATACATAAATGTTGTATTCATAGCAAAATGCTGTTATACTTCTTACGCTAGACAGAACGTATGCCACACAAGGTACGGAAAAACACTAAGAAAAACACCTTTGAGAAGTGGCTAAACCATTAAGAAACATATTCCGAAAATAATGCAGTAGCCAAAGAAAACCGGGAAAGGAGTACAAGCAATTACATAAACCACCCTAAAAGAGATCATTTCAAAAGGATGCAGTTCTAAATATCGAAATGCACAGCATGTATAACGAAATAAGAAATGTTTCTCTAAAAATCTGAATAAGCACAAACATGAATTAACAGGAAAAAAGACGACGTAGAAGCATAAATAGGCCAAAACTATCCAACGAGGACTTGGGCACCTTTAGGCTGGCTGTCAGACTATAATTTATAAATGATTTGTTCCCATGTCTCTCAACGGTCTGCAACATTTTTTGGAGGAGAGGAGGCGCACGTTCTTTGATATCCAAGGTAATTCGGATCAATTTAGGTTTCTGGGAAACTGCCAACCTACCCCTCCCCTAAGTCGTCATTTTGCCCAAAGTGAGAAATAAGTGCTAATGTTAGCTTTGATATTACATGTTTAATACAATATATATTAGTATATTCGGATCAATTTAGGTTTCTGTTTTTCCCGTTTTTATTAGAAACGATCTTTTAAAAGTCGACAAAATCCAACCTACCCCTCCCTGTATTCGCGTAAGAAGAAGAAGCCGTTTCGTGAACTCAGCGTTTTCTAAGAAGAAAATTTTGGCTCAAAAATCGAAGTTTATTTTATGACAAACAAATTTAAAAGGAAATGTTTGCAGAAATTCTATTTTTCAAGTAAACAGGAAAAAGAATGATACAGGAAGACGACCTCTTACCTCGAGCAACCGAGCCGCCATTTTTGTCAGCACTTCATGCGAAGAACGACACAACATGCCCTTTTGGCTATAAACTTGGCGAGTCAACAGAAAACAACACAGCTCTACTTTTTTTCTCAGGTAAGGAAACAGTTCAAACTTTTAGCGATTCCATTGAAGCCATTACGCTGTTGTTTGCGAAATGAGTAAACTTGTGAATTGCCATGTTTGAAAATTCTGCAAAGATCTATTTTTAAACTTACGCGTGATTTGATCTGTCAATCAAATCCTACTTTTGAATGGTTTCCTTTCTGATTTTGTTGAGATCACTTCGTGTGTATATACTAAAACAATTATTCTTCTCAATCTCGGTGAATAGTGGCTTTGGGAATATTTACCTCGCCGCTTTCGCGGCTCGGTAAATATTTTGCCACTATTCACCTCGATTTCAAAGAATAATTGTTAATTATTACTGGACAAGGATCGGAAATACATAAAACCCAGTCGAGCTCAATCATTCATGCTCAATCAATTGTATTCTGCTCTAGATTAACTGTTGTACATTCTTATAATCGATGAGAACGTCACTCTGGTACTCCGTTAAAATCAAACCTCTATACGCTTCTACTAAGGTTATCTTTATTTGATTATCTATTACAGTTTCATCGTAATTATTAGTCAGAGAATAAATAAGCTGGTCCAATAGTGAGATGCCATCGATAGAGAGAGCGAAACGTCCTGTAGTCTTGCAGATTAGAGGGTATATCTACAATGCAAAGGTACAAAGCTATTTTAGGGATAAGTCATCAACAACTGATATGTCATTAGATACTTGCCATTTTTGAGGATGAGGCTGGATGCTGTGACGAAGTGCAATGTAGCTTAGGACGCTATTCCATATAAAGGTAGCGTGGCCGAGGGGTTAGAGCGCTGTACGCAGTGCAATCAGGTGGCATCAAGTCCCACCATAACCGCTAGCTGGATTTATGCTCGAAATCTTCAATCACGTTTTTAAATAGCCAACTGGTTTACCTTGTGGAAGTTAGTGTTCTTATTTCGTTTTTGTTTCAACTGTGGTTCCGATTCACTAGCATGGGTGTTATAAATACTGCCTAGGATAAATAAAGTTCTTATTCTTCTACTTCTTCTTCCTCCTCCTCTTCTTTAATAATGATAATAATGATAATAATAATAATAATAATAATAATATTTATTATTTGGTATTGCGCAAATTAACATATATCAAATGATCAAATGCGCATACAAACTATTAAAGCAAGTAAAAAATATGTCAATTATCGAATTAAACATGAATATATCTGTAAATGACACCTAACTTAATTATTTAGTACTTAACCTATTACTTACAATAATTATAACTAAAAGAAATGTTATATGTTTCATTAAAATTGATAAAAAAGGGAGTAAAATTAATATACACCTATGTATAATTAAAAATTGTATGCAAGTTTAAAATAGTAAGTCTTCAGCTGTTTCTTAAAAGTATAATAGTTGTCCTGTTTCCTAATGTCCTTCGGTAAAATGTTCCAGATTCTAGGGGCGGCTACTTTGAAAGTCCTGTCTCCAAGTGTCTTCTTTGATCGTGCACTATAATCCTCGAGTAACATCTATCCGTCCGATCTAAGATTATATCTGGTCGTACCCTTAACTTTTATTAGATCCTTAAGGCATTCGGGTGCGTTGCCATAGATACACTTATGAGCAAGTATTGCTATCTTAAAATTTACCCTATACGTTACTGGAAGCCAATGTAAATGAACAAGTGTAGGAGTAATATGATCATACTTTTCGACGTTACTAACAAGGCGAGCCGCTGCATTTTGTAAACGCTGTAATTTACTTAGCTGGGTGGATGGAACACCAACCAGCAGTAGAGTCCGGCTTGAAAGATAAATATTTCTGGGTGTCATCAGCGTAAGCATGAATATTTGGGAGATGGTTCTTAACAACCTCAAAGAGTTTACTTGCGTGCATCGTGAATAAAAAGGGCCTAGACAAGAACCCTTTATTATTATAATTATTCTTTCGTACACAAGAAGAATGTACATAGGGTATATATTTTAATATTCATATTCTTGAATTCTGTAAATAGTCTATTTTTTTGAATCTATGAATAAAGTTATTTTTGTATTATTATTATTATTATTATTCTTATTATTATCATTATTATTATTATTATTTCCATTGGGATATAGCGGAGTTTCGTCCCCAAAATAATTCCACAGTGCATTTCAGACAATATATTCCCACTAATATACTTCACGCTCAAAATGGAGATCAGCATCGTTGATACAAACGTGCAATATCGGTATTTTCACAAAACTCTCATGTTGTGACTATTGCCTTACACCCTCGGCATTTAACGGTATAAACCCAGGGTTAATTCGCTCCAAATATAACTTAAAACGGATTAATCTTGACCTTTGAACTAAATGGCGAATAAACTCTTTAACCTTCTGTAAGGGCTGTAACATAACCAGAAATGACTATCTTTGCAAATTTCTGGTTAGTGGTGGCGAGGACACCCTACCAATGCCAACAAGGTCTGAATAAATTTTGACCTCTGTTATAGGCCAATCGTTTTGGACGATTATTTTCACGTTAGCAAAGAAAAGCAACTGCATCCAATTCCCAAGTCAAGCTAATTGCATGGCGCCACATTCTAGCACGTTAAGTACTAGTAACAGGACTGAGTGGAGTCCAATTCGGTCTGTAATCATACGAGTGGTTAACAGAATCGGACGACCGCGTAGCGGTGGTCCGATTTGTTTAATCACGAGTATTATTACAGACTGAATTGGACGACACGAAGTTCTGTTCCCAATTAATCATAACTTTAACAAAATTTGTGATATATAAGGTCCTTTTTTAAAATCAAAACAGAAGAAATTCCAATTTTTTTGCTAGTAATGAAAAAAAGCCATTTAAGCGCGCGCCTGATTTCGCGTACTGTCCAATAACTTAGGCATGACGCGTACTGTCCTATTAAATTGTCCATTTAAGGCTAAAATCAGGGTAGTTGATAGCCAATCAGATTTGAAAATGTTGTCACAGTTATGATTAAGTGCGTTAGAGTATGGAAAAATGCAAATTTCACCAAGAATTTATTGCTCATTTTGGGATGGCTGCATGTTGTTTATGTTAAATTAACAAGCTTTATTTGAACAGATTTCTAATTGTAACATTTTAGTATTTTGCAGATTTTGAGGTATACATTTGCTTTACATGGTGCTATTTATTTAATCTACAGCAGGTACCAAAACTACAAGTCTTTCAATTGCTGTTGTTAGGTCTCCCTTTATCAATAGGAACAACTCTCTTTCAAACCCTATAACGAAATAGGTTGACTGAAACCCGTCAAAGAGACCCTCCACGGGTCACGAAATTGTAACTTTCGAGAATAGCATAGTCTTAAGCGATTTGTTTTGCACAGAGGCAGGGATGCTTATAATGTCTGTATTGCCCGTAGTTGTACGCTGCTGCGATGCGTATTTGCGCTTTGTGGAGTAGAGACCAATTCCAATGATTTAGCTTCTGGTGTCTGTATTGGCCGTAGTTGTATGACGTTCCTGCGATCTGCGATGGCAATTTGAGGAGTAGGGGCAACTTCTCTGGATCTTGAAAACGAATCTCTTATCAGCTTTAGCACTCGGGCCTTGCAGACAAAGGCCACGAATATGAATAGCCCTTGTGTAGTTGTGAGAACTACGAAAGGATATATCAGCGCTTTGTGTATGAGCTCGGCGCCGAAGCTGAAAAGCCAAGTGAAGCCCATGAGTGTGACCAGGCGCAGGTATATTTTAAGGATGGCCTTTTTATCTTGAAGGGCAGATTTGACTCGGGTTGTTTGCTTTCTGGCACTGTTGATGGCCCATATGGTATGGGAAAACGCTCCAATGTTGTACAGAAGGACAGAGGCAATGGGAACAGCAAAAACAATGATCTTGCCATCGCTACTGCCAAGCCAGCAAGCGTCTTCATTGCCATATCCGATAAACACCACTTGGAAATGATCAAGAATAACGCATCCACCTACAAACAACAAAGGTAAGCCCCAGGAAAGGCACGTGTACTTCAAAAAACGAATATTCTTGTTCTGACCACCAATTGAGATCCCTGGAGCTCTAGAAATCTGACTGGAGAATGTACGTCGAGTGTCGAAGGCTATGATGGCCATGCATGCAAATGATACCAAGAAAAGGTAATGGATGACGGCCGCCACTGCGGTACAAAAGGTTGGTTTATCGGTGTCTCCGGTGCCTAACATCCACGTAAACTGAGCAAGGGTAAGGGCCAAGCACAAACTCATGAGATTTTTTCCTGGCAAAGGCCTTCGCATTTCAACGAAAATGGAGTGGATCACTATAGTTAGGCCAAGTGCAAAAACGGACACTGAAAAGCCAACGACGGTAAAGTACCACAGAAAACGGGATTCTGTCTTGGCAGTTATGTCAGGTTCTATAACCTGGGTGGAAGTGTTGGTGTAATTCACTTGGTAATTAGTGTAGTTAGTGCAAATCATAACTCTTTTTCCATTCACATCGTACTCTCCCGTAGAGTAGACTCTTCCAGTAATGATGTGTAGTAAGGTTTTGTTGGCAAATATGGTGTACTCATAACTGCGTAATGGCAATAGCAGAAATGAACATTGAACAGTAAACTTTGATTTGCACACGAAGAGACTTTTATTTTTGCTACCGTCGTTAACAACAAAAAAGCGGTTTGAAGGCAAAGTTTGCCCTGTTTTGTTTATTTCAGCCTGACCTGTTGGTAAAAGTTTAAACTCTCCACGAAAATATTCCACTGATTCCACGCAGGCTAGTTGTCTTTCAGTAACGCGAATGACCTCCCATGTTTTGTTATTAATGTTGATCTCAAAGGATTCGTTGAAATTGAACAAAACAGACACATCCATGTTGTCTTTGTAAGGCGTATGTGTCAAGTTATTTATTCTGGAAGAAGCTCCTGCGTACAAATTGAAAGCTACCGCTTTGGAATTATCCTCAGAGGAAAATACAATTTCGTCGATTTGTGATGGATCTAGTGCAAACGTTTGGCAGAAAGCGATACTAAATTGGTCAGGTGTCACAGGTCTCATTTGACCATCCAAAGGATGCATCCAAAACTTCACGCGATACTTGTCGCGAATTGCGTGTAAAGGATTAGGAACGTAACCAATCCTGCAGGTTTCCAGATGTGGGTCGTAAACCCTGTCTTGTGGACAGGTCGAGATAACTTTCGTAGGCTTAATTTTTAGTTGGTTAGTGATCAAAGGTTCAAATTGCATGACTATTTCGAATGATTTGGGGTCAAAGACAGTGTTTGGTTCTCGAGGGCCGCAGCTTGCGCCGGTCATTGATAATCCATTGCAAAGCACACAATGATAGTTCTTGTAATTCTTCAAGGTCTCCTCTTCAAAGACAACTCCACTTGTACCCTTCAAACAACCATCTTTGTGCTGAGTTTGCTTCTCTAGGGAGCATGAAGATACCATTGGGAAGCAACTTCGAACTTTAAATTGTTCAGTTGGTAAAACGGCTCTTGTTGGACAGTACTTAAGCATGTAGTCCAATGTTTGAGTGCTGTTGAAGCCCTGGGGTGGTTTTATATTGCATCGAAATTTTAGCTCCCAAAAAATGAGCAAGAACTTTATCTCGTTATTGCAAATACCACAATACATATTGCTATAATGGATTCCTTGTCTACGAGTGTCAAGTAATGCCACTGGAATGCCCTCTAAGACGTTCGCCGGCGTGAATGTGCGATTCGTGGCGTTTGCCCCTGACAAACATTTCGAACGCACTTCTTTGTCTTCCCAACCGGGTGCACAAGTTGATATCATGAAAACACCTGTAGGACTATGTTTTTCAGTGGATATCTTCCTGCAGATATAATTTGCATTATCTATTCTTTGAGGTACTAGACTTAAGGGCTGACAGTAACGTGTGTAATCAGCACAGCAGTCTTGATACGTAAGGCAAGCTTGATCGCAATGGCAGTGTTCTTCACTTTTTTCTTGGCTGTCTATCTCATCCCACTGTGTAGAACGGTTCTCGCATTTATTCCAGCAGGAAAATTTCTCTATGCATCGAGGAACTGGATCCGGCGTTTGGGAGGTTAACACGTCAGACGTTGCCGTGTGAGGAGTGGCTGTAGGGTTTGATACAAACGATGAAAAATTGGTTACTGTCGAAGCCAGCGCATCACTTGCGTTAAAAAGAGCCTGGAGATGGACCAGATTCAATGAAAGGAATAGGACACAAGCTGTGAAGCTGATGCCAAGTTTTCTCATTTTGTTTGTACTTATAAGCTATGTTTTACCCTTTGTACCTACAAAACAGTCAAAAGCTTTCAATTGCCGCCTAACAAAGATAAACTGGCGCGCTGCTTATGTGCTTTTCGAACTGAATCGGTGATATCAGACTTTTTTAATGGGAAAGTGCTTTCTCTGCATAGAAGCTGTTTATATACTCAACGATGTTGATCGAAGATCTGTAGCGTAGGTTGGAGAGTCTGAAAAAGAGGGAAATAAAAAGAGATATCAATGTGTTATACACATGAAGCCATATATGCGTATTATAAGGCGGTACATGAATACACGAAACGTTTTTTTTTTTTCATTTAACTTCTATTACTATCATGTTTGTTTGGTCCGTCACACACTACCCTCTCTAATCAGCTTTTAAATTAATTTATCTTCTGAGAGAAGAGTGACTTTATTATTTATTTGAAACACTGAATTGTATGAGGTGTAATTAGTGAACGGACAATGAGATTCACTGAAAGTTTTAATAAATGTTCGACGGGAACTGAGCGATAAAGTTTAAAAATGACGTCCCACTAATCAAGTGTAGCAACTGACAACATGGCTTATCTAATGAAGCTCTTCTGTTTTCTTTTAAGAAGGAATAAGCTAGCCTGAATTAGTAGTGACAGAGAAACGGAACGCCTCTTTTTATCGGACAAAATTTCTTTACATCGTAGAGAGGTCCAGTTTGAGACAAGTGAAGCCCAATTTTGACCAAATCCTTTGAGTCTGTCAAAAGAAATATTGAAACACCCGCATTGTTAGCGGCGTTTATGTACTGATCAAAAAACACAATAATATGCCTAAATGTTGTTATCATGTTCAGTGTTAAGGAGTTGATTTAATTCATAAATTTGCATTTGCTTATTTTTTAGCCACTAAAACATTTGGGGAAAAAGCGCTCTAAAAACTTTCATATCCATTTTTAGTTCAATTTTCATTCAAATGTTTGGTTGCTGCGTAAGGTTAAATGTGTGCTCTACCAAAATAATTATAAAAAAAAGCATAAACGCTGTGGAAAAGGAACTTGCAAGAAACAGCCAGGGATGCCACGAAAGAGTGGTAGCCTTCTTATAGTCATAGTGAACAAAATTAATTTCATTCCGCATGAACAAAGCTTTTGAACAAAAGAGTTTAGTCAAGGTTTTTCTGATTTTCTCTATGCGTTATCATTCAAGAACGAGAACCCAACCAAACTTGTCATGAGAATAAAAAAAATTAAAAATAAAATGATGCCAAGCAGCATGACGATAATCACTGTGACACAGGGATTCTCAGAGGCAAGAGGCTGTCGAAACCGGTGAGCATAACATGTTTTTTCATCGTCACATGCATTACACGTACAATACAATAGAAAATTGAAAGCGAAGACACTAAAAACAACGCCCTTCACTTAAAAAACCCAAGGGTCACTTATAACGGCTGACTACCTTTAAAAAATGGTGACTGGGAGTCCAATCCAGAGTTCTCAGTTCCTCTTGTTGTTACTGAAGCTGACAGGAAAAAAGAATCAGAAATCCATAAAACCCGAAGATGAAAAATGTTTTAGAAATACCATACTTTTCATGACATCCTTAAACTGAGTTAAAGGCTCGCCTATATATAGTTAAATAGGAACGGCGAATAATTGCGTTTGTCAGCTATTAAACCCACAGTGGTAATTGTTGATTTAGTTTGGTTATTAAGTGATGGCAGCGTCTAATGTATTCAAGGTTAAAATGGAGAAGACTGATCAATTATTTAACAATTATACCACGAGTCTGCTTTGGATACAAGATGGTAGATCAGCCAACGAGGCGCGTACCGCCGAGTTGGCTATAATCGTCTCATATCCAACAAGCGCGAGTGGAATAATTGTTCTATTAAAAAACGCCCCCAAAATATCGAGAATTCGTCCCGACTTTATATGTAAAAACAAACGAATTTCAGCTTGTTTTTAATTTTTGAGCAGGCGCGTACAGTTACCATTTTTGGAGAGCATGGGATAATGGCTCATATACCATGCATGATGGCTAAGGTAATCAGAACTCTAGAATTGCATTATCCAATGATTCAGTTTTTAATAGTTTTAGTTAGTAGTTGCTCGTGTATGGTAAAATCGATTTAGGCCTGATGGTTCACAAAAGCGCCCATGGAATACTCAGTTAAGTTAGAGCCCGTATTATGATCGCAAGTGAAAATGGATTAATAGAAAAAAAACTAACTAACGGACAAAAATAAAACGAATCATAAAACGTTTTAATTCTAAGGCTCGCCGATGTACAGTAAAAGAGGATTTTACGACACACAATTGTGTATCTCAACTATAATAAAGACACAATGGCAATTATAGTATCTGTTATTATTCTCTCTTGGTGATGGTAGCGACTAAATGGTTTAAATTGAGACAAATGACGAATTTCGCCCGGTATAGTTAGTAGTTGCCAAGTTTATAATTATTGAAAGTCACCTGTTCTTGAGCTATCAAGTTATGGCTTGCAGGTCACGAAAAATTGCCCTCGGAATAGAGAGGAAGTCTTAACGTCACTTTGCCATGGTAGCAAAATTTCTGTATCGCAACAAACCGTATTCCTGCAAATATGACAGAAAAAGAAAAGGAAGAAAGAATTGACATATATGACTTACCTGTGCATGATTGCGCCCGGGAACAAAACAGTAGCCCATACTTTTCTTCTATCGTTCGACAATGTAAATGGCTGTCTCTGTCAAGAAAGATGATTGAGAGCCATAAATATTGCTACCATGGTAACCTGACGTCACTCTTCTGTTCTCTATATTCGATACCTTATTATAGGAAATTAACGCTCCATGAAATTAAGGTATTGGAAATTAACTCGACTTAAATTAACGCGAATTTAATGGAAAACGACTTTCGAATAAAGAAAATGAACGCGAAAGTTGAAATAGAATCTCATAATAAAGGAAATTAACGCGATTGAGACACGGTTGGACAAATTTATTTCAACACTGGATGCAAAAAAATCCAAAACTGACCAAACCTGAGCTGACATCACCTCTGACAGCGACAACGCTGAAGATGAACTCGAAATATTGTAAACCTTCGCCTTAGCTTTTGTGAAAGATGAAATTAAAATAAAGGGTAAATGAAAAAAAGAAAGAAAGCTTGTAGTTAATGTTTTTTAGGTGTCAAGAATGTCTGGACAGGTTCCAAAATTGGAGTAAAAATACTGGAAATTAAGAGCGCGGAAATTAAC